ACCTAAATTAATCAAGTTATGAAGTTCTTAAAAGATTCAGTGGGAGGAATTCCAAGCTGGTACCTATATTTTTTAAAAAAAGATTCCAATTACTCAATTTTATGTTAACAGATTAAATTAAATCTTTTTTTCCAGCTACTAAAGTACTCAGAATTCAGAATAGTACTCTACACGATACCTACTACACTAACCTCTGCCTGTAATAAAGTTCCCAAGTATTGACCTAGAGAAGATCAGAATGTATGTGTGCATCTTTCCTGTTGTTGGTGTCACAAATGATCACCAGCTTAATGGTTTAACACGACACAATTTTATCTTATAGTTGGAGAGGTCAGAAGTCCAAAAAAAACAGGGCTTACAGGGCTGAAAGCAAAGTGTGGGCAAGGCTGTATTCTTCTAAAGCGTCTTGGGGAGAATCTGTTCCTTCTTTTTTCAAGCTTCTAAAGGCTGCCCATGTTCCTTGGCCCCAAATTCTATTTGCATTATCACATGTCCTTCTCTGACCCCGACTCTCCTGCTTGCCCCTTATGGGTGAGGACCTGTGATGGCGCCGGGCCCTCCTGCATACTCCAGGGGAATCTCCCCATCTCAAGAGCCTGGACATAATCACATCTGCAGAGACCCTTTTTCCTTGTAAGGTAACCCGGTCGCATGTTCCAGGGGTTAGAACATGGAAATCCTTGGGGGCCATTCTGTTTACCCCAGAATGTTTTCGTTCACACTTACATAAAAAGGAGAACTTTTCAGTATCCACTTAAGACACTTTTGCTGTGGCTCCCAGGAGGGCTGATAGCAGTTCCATTTGAGAACAGCCCTCAAGTCCCCCAGTCAGTGCTGGACACCCGTGCTGTTTATTTGACCGTTCACTTCTTTATTGCCTCTCCCTCTTCAGAATGCCCGCTCCACGCAAGCCTTTTCTGCTGTATTAATTGCTGTGATCCTGAAGTAGCACCACTGACGAACAGCAGGCATGTAGCCAAAGTCTCAAATGAATGAATGAATGAATGAGCTGCCAAATTTGACAGATACAGGTTGAACTACCTGCCAGGGATGACGCCAGACCACGGGGCTAGACGGACAGAGTGAATCCTGTGACGGGATTTATTTATTTATTCAATAAAATACTTTATGATGATGTATGAACATGCTCCATCCATTAAGAAAAGATCATATACTGTGGCCTCTCTTCTAAACAAGGATTGTGAATTTAGCTAATCCCAAATGAGACACAGACTAGTGGATAAAATAAAATACCTTGTCTATGGTAAGGTATTTTCAGAAATGACATGTTGGGATGGGGAAAGATTGTAGATAAATATGGGGTTTCCAGTATTTTAAATATTGAAAGAATGCTCATGAGGATAAGATATATAAGACCGGAGAAAAGCTTTCGCAGCGGTGAGCCACAGCCTGCGGCCTCCTGAGGGCTGTGATGATGCTTCCTCTCCACCTGTCTGTACTCCTCGACTGGACTCACCTGGAACTCAAGACTCCATCGTCCAATGGGAGATCTCAAACTTTACAAAAGCCTTCTCCTGACCTGCTCCTTATAAAAGCATTCTCATTTTCTCAAATGGCAGCTTCATCTTTCAAGCTGCTCAAGTCCAAACTTTCAGTCGTTCTTAGCTCCCTGCTTTCTCCACACCACGCCCCGTCCATCAGGCAGTCCTGGAAGCACTACCTGGAATCCTGAATCCTGCTGTTCCCACCATCGCCTTTCTCCTGAGTCACAGCGACAGTTGCCTAACCGTTCTCTGCACCCACCCCTAAATCTCCTGCTGTCAATTTCCAACATAGAGACTGGAATGGCCCTTTCAAAACATGAATTGGATCATGTCCCACCTCTGCAGAAAACCTCTCTGTGTCTTCCTATTTTACTCAGAGTAAAAACCAGACTCCTCGCCTGACTGGCATGGCCCCCGTCTTGATCCTGTCCCTCTCACCCTGACGCCTCCTGCTCCAGGCACAGTGGTCTTATTAACTGTATGTTCCCCAAGCGGGACCCCACTGCGGGGACGCCACAGTTATGACGCCCTCTACCTGGAAGGTCTTCTCGCAGTCACTGCGGGGCTCCTCTCAACTGTGCTCAAACGTCACTTCTCAGTAGCGATCACTTCTCCCCGATCATCTTATTTTAATAACAGCCCCTCAACAGCACCAGAGCCCTCTGTGCTCCTTCCTGCTCTATTTTTCTTCATAGCATTTAACTCTACATGACATACTATATATTTTACTTATTTATTTTATTGTAAATGTTCACCTCACCACATAGAATCCCTGGGGAGTTGCCAGGCAACGAGGGAAGCCGGCCAGGGCACGAGTCGGCTCTGGTCAAAGATGTGGGCTGAGGCCCAGGGCCATCCTCCAGAGAAGTGCGAAAAACGACAGACCCCCAACACCCTCACCGGCCACTTAGAAGCCGGTTAATGTACCAGCCCTGCGAGAGGACAGCGGACATCGCATTTATACCATTTATCTGGTGCAGACAAGCCCCTTAAGTCGGACGTATTTACAAAGGAGGGCAGAGCGTGGATTATTTTTAAATTCAAATGACACATGAAGCCTGTGTTTAACCAAGAGAGAATAAAGTAGCCCATCGTCTATTTTAGTAAGTCTGTTGGTGTTTATACTGAACCTGGAATTTTCAGGCCAACCAACTCTAACCCCACCACCTCAAAAATACCCTCTGTGTGCCTAGGCCCTCAAAATAGCATTTAATGAAATTCTACCTGAAAAATATCCACATGAAATTAAGGACAAGTTTTAAGAAAAGAAAGTTACTTAAATTCATCAACTAAACTGAGCTTCTTTTTAGCTTTAAGACTCTAAATGAACAATTTAAAGCAAAAGGAAATCTTGAGGTAAATATAATGGTTCTTATCAAATGTGGCGTAGATGCAATTTTCCAATTGCCTTGACAGTTGATTAAAACAGTCTCAGAGGGCTCTAGGACCATGACACACTTCCACCCTTATCATCACCTTTGCTTTGGGACTGCAATGGGATGATTTAAAGTGACTTTCAGATGTTGCCCAAATGTACGCATTCAAAAGCATTCCAGTGTGCGGACAGCATGCTTCTGTTTCAACTAGATGAATATTTTATATAAAGTTTTTGTTAAGATCTAAATTGTTTAATGAAAGTGAAATGTTCGTGAGAAAACCCAAACGGTCATTTGATTTTCTTTTCTTCATAAATCTCACCATTAGAGACAGTAGTCAGCTGCAGAGAATGTCAGGGAGGGCTTTCTGTTCACACCCTGGAATG